TGCTGTCACGTGGTGAAGTGAAAGTTTGTTATTTTAATAAATTATTTTGTAATATTACTAAAATGTCTGGTGTGGTTCTAATGCACACCAAAGCAAATCTTTCACATAAAAACTCGATTTTAATATATGAGAGATAGTAGGCCTACTCATGTTGTATTGAATGCTATTTATTCCATATCTATTTTAGATTATATGAAACATATTATTATTTTAATGTAAAAACAACAAACACATAGTGTATAATAAATAAAAAAATCACAGGACAGGTTTCACTTTTGGAGGCTGGCTCCATTTATTATCAAATAAATGTGCGGGCGAGGGTGAACCTCGCGCCGGGCTGTAGAGCGCGGGCTCGTCAGGCAGCGACCACTCGAGGCCGAGGCTTTACACGGCCTACGGTGTCCTCGTCAGCGTCCTCACCGTTAGGTCCACCAAACCTAGCTCCTGGAACAAATGATGAAACTCCTGAAACCCTCCGGAGGGTCTGGTGGACCCGAGTACAGCGACGATGTCCCCTACGCAGCTGTTTCTGCTCTCCAGAGCATATACGAGCGGTGACTCTCTCGAATAATGCTAATGCTAATGCTCGATAAACATCTAAAAAGATGGCCGCCGACGGGTTTCGAAACTTTCGCCTCTGACGAGCGTAAATTTCGCTTCAAACTTTTTTTTTTACGCGCGTCAATTTCGCCATTGACACGCGAATTAACACAAAGTGGTCAAGCGTCAAACTAGACGCGGTAGGCGCGAATTTGACGCGCTATTCGCGTCCGGTGTGAACGTAGCATTAGACAGACGTCAGTCACCGAGCACCACAAACAAACAGCAGTCACCTTTTACAGTTCCTCCTGAGCCAAAACAACGAGTCTATACTCCGTTCACACCATAACTACTGTAATTTGGAAAAGATGGAAACCCGTGTCATTATACTCAGAGCAGTTCGTTTTTGAATTTAATGCGTTTCAATGGCAACACTATCACTGAGTCTGCAGCAGTCAGGTGGTACAGTACAGATCAGTGCTCTTTAAACTGTTTATGTTCGTTATTATTATAATGTTATGTGCTTTGATACATGGGGTAGTTTAATGTCGTCTCTGGTGCTTTTGTTTGCTCTGGCTGTGCGAGTTCATGTGTTTTGGAGGAGGCGTGGGTTTGTAGACCATCTGAAGGGAGGGTGGGATCTAATTATGCTTTCAAAGCTAGCTCGCTATTGCTAATCTCTCCGAAAAATACCTACCCTAGATTTAATAAACAATCTCTCAAATCCATCTTTTTTTATTATCACAAACTGTTTTATTATTATAAATAGTTCTGAATGAAGTAGGTGAGTTCAGGCTTAGCACAAGACAGTGCCATACTGCCATCTGGTGGTGAATTACATATTATAAAAACGTTTGACCTTTAACACTAGAATAATGTACAGCAGAAAATGAGATTATAGAATGTTGACCTAATACACATTTGTCAATGCTACTGATTAAAGTTAGTTAAGTATGTTAGTGGCAGCAACATACCGATCTATTGTCTGATTTCAGTAAATTGACTGAGACAGACCTCATTAACAAACACACGCACACACACACACACACACACACACACACACACACACACACACACACACACAGGCATTATGTTGGATTAATTTGTTCAACGGGTTCATCTTGAATGCATCTGCTTCCATTTCCTCACGAAATGTGTTTTTCTTGTCCATCTCTCGATATTACAAAAATAAGGCAAAACAATGTCAAATATTTACTGGAAGTACTAACAAATGTAGAATTAACTTCACAGAATTAATTGATTTACAGGATATTTCTCTCACTACAAAAGATTTTCATATTTTTCATAGGGGTTTTGATTATCTTTAAACAACTAAACCATTTCTTTCCAGTTTGAGTGACTGAGTCAACCTTATCATCAAGAAAAAATATATAAAACTCACCAGAGTGTTTGAAATGTATGAATACAGTTGAGAAATTTGACTGTGAAATCAAAGTTAACCTCTTCTTTTACCATGTTAGTATTTTAAAAACTCATTCCTTATCATAAGAATCAATATTACACATTTTATTAGACAAATTTGCTAAATAAATGAATTATTTGTCTAAATGTATTTATTATCTTATATATTATCGGCACACAATAAAGGCACAAAGTAAAAAAAAAAAGCCTATAGAAAAATGATTCTATATACACTCATTTAACAATGGGAGGAGAATCAATCACAACACAATGTACATGATATGTTTCTTTATTTCATAAACAGAAATGGTGTCTAGACAATCTGTAATTTATATAACACTAGCAATTGAAATGCATGAAAATGAGTTCTGCACAATACCGTATGTACAATGGTTTTTAAGTCATTAAATGCATTAGGGTCATGTAGCATTTCAAAATGAAAAAAGTAAAAACTCTTAGTACAGAATAAGCAAAGGAACAGCTACCTCAAATAGACAATATTAACACAAAACAGTCTTCTAGAAAAAATGCGATAAAGAGTCAGAAAGAGATAGAGAGAAGAAAACAACTCGTGACTACTAGCCAAAGAGCTATTCCATTAAAAATGATGCACCAAAATCTACCAATACAATAATCCATATAATCTGTGTAAAAAGCATGTAGAAAAAACACCTGATGCAGTTTGCTGATACAGTCATTGACCAGTAATGAGAGGTATGAAGGATTTCACAGGTAGATAAGTGTGAGAGAGAGTCCGCTCTGCTAGCCGAAACATGGGGGCTCACAGCCCCTGCATACACACTTCACTTGAATGTGAACTATGGCCTCTGGAAGTTCTAAGGCAAAGTTGGATGTGCACTTTGTATTCATGGTACACTGGAGCATCCCCGTCGGGCGAAAAGACAACTTGAGGAAAAGGAGCATAGTTACCAAACGGCCATTTCTTCGTTCGCTTGTAAAAACGTACAAAACAAAGAGACAGAATGCTAAAACTATCCATTCGAACGAGCCTCACGATTTCTATGTACATGGCAAAATTCTCGTAAAACACGACACCTTTTTGTAAACATTTTGCCTTTTTCTTACGCCGTTTTCTGCGCGTTCAGTCCGAATATCAAATGTTTTATAAAGTTAAGCAAATTGTGAAAAAGGCAAGTTTTTGAGCAACCCTTTGGAACGCCAGTGTTCATATTTCTGAGAAGCAGCACGAATGAAACAAACCGACCAAATTATTCAAATGACATTAAACAGGAGCTTACGTAACGTTATAGATGAAGAGATGTACCTATAGGGTGTTTTCCTGTACAGTATTGGTTCTCAATACATTTACAGAAGCTTAAATACGCGTCTTTTGACCGTAATTGCAGATCGAAAGCTTAAACGATTAACTTAGCTGTATCAGCCAATTTAAAAAACAAAAAAAAAAAAAAAAAACCTAATTGCTGGATTTCATTTAGAGATATTCCATAGCCCTTGTTGGGTTTTTTTTTTAATCCAAAAGAATTGTGCAAATCTATTAGGTTTTCTCTATGCATCAATTATTCTTAGCTTAGAAACTCTAAAAAAAAAAACAAATCACGCAACCCCACCCATTAGCTTTATTAGAAGACAAAAATGCAAGAGACAAAAATAAGTGACAAATGAAAGCTGAGCTCACCAGCTAACATCAAAAATGTCTGAGGACCAAATAAAAATAACAAAAAAACGTTGGCACACACCCTGAGACAAGATACAAGAGCAACCACGAGTCCGATACGAAAATAAAACCTCTGTAAAACAACAAAAACTAGCAGAAGTGTTGTTGAGAGGAGAGCTAATAAGCTTATTTAACCTGCGAGGCTTTCTGTGACCAGGCCGAACCCTTGAAGTCACTGTGGAGGCAAACATGATGCAGCTTTTAGTAACAGAGGCTAACAGAGGTCAGAATTCCAATCCTTGTCACTCAGACTCTCGGCTTCTTCCACCGTTTCTTCCATATCTGTATCGAAGCGTCGGCCTGAACCGAAGCACTTAAGGCCAAGTGTGCAAGCGTGAGGAGTCAGCCATTTCATGTACAGCCCAGAAACAAACACGACAAGTACACGACAAATACTTTGCTATGCGAGGAACATAAATAAAAGCAGATTTGGGAAAATGTTTTTGGATAGCCTTGATGCAGGTGTGACCTTTAGTTTTTTCCAGAAATGTCAAAATTGTGGACATAGATTCTCAAGTGTAGGACAGTGTGCTTGTCAAGTGGAAGGTCATGCTTTCCACGCTTCATTATTTATACAACAAGAAATAAGAAAAACGCATCATTATAGGGATGATTTGCATATGTGTGCACAAATGTCCACTTGGACCCATAAATCTTTAGTTCTAGTCTTGTACCTGATTACAATTTAGAAATGGCAAATACTGTTAAAATTTCTTTAGAAAAAGAGAAAGAGAACAGATCCACAATGAAAACAACAGCACAACTATCCATCACAACACCTCTAGATTCTACATCCCTAGGAGAGACACTCCACCCAGTGTGACATGTTTGTGTGTGTGTGTGTGTGTGTGTGTGCTTGCATACGAGAGGGAGAGGGGATGTATTACAACTTGAAACGTGTCTGAATATCAAACTATCAGACTCGCAAATGCACAAGCACGCACACGTAGAGCTCTAGGGGTCAAAGGTCATTCAAATAATATATGGAACTATGTCAAATGAGTGGCACTCCCAACTGTGTTGCATTACTTATTGGGAGACCCATTTTTTTTTTTTTTTTATATAAATGCTCTTAGTTTTTGCTCAACTAAACCGGAGTGAACTCATCGAGATTCAATCCGTTTTTCCGAGGCCTACATTTTGAGGCAAAGAAACTCTAAACAAACTATATAAAACATACAGGCAGCATGCAATCCCATTAGTATGGATATACGCGTCTAACAAATGTACAATAAAGGAAAATTTATGTCGACTTTAAAGAATTGGCTTATTCCATCCAATTCAGAGCAGATTTTCGATGCTCTCTAAAATAGCTTTTTAGTGTCTTCCATAAACTTTTTTTTTGTTTATTTAAATGAACCTAAAAACGTTCTTTAAAAGATACCGTGTCGTTAAAGATCATCTGCCAGGAGAGACACTTTTAAGTGTCTGCGTTAAGTGCTTCAATTTCAGACTTTTTAGGGTCCTGAAAAAGAAATCTACCATTTCAGAAGTGCTAAACGGTCAAAGAGTGCCGAGGGGGAACAAAAGGTAAGGGCAAGGCCCTTTAATTGAGTTCAACATCATTTCCTGTTCCTGTCCAAGTAGTAAAATGGGGGCGAAACTGAAAGGGTGTGGGATTGTGATGACGTTTGTTTTACGTAACACTGTTGGGAGGTGTCTGCAAGCACACTGTAAATACTGATAAAAGAGCACGTTTTCACATTTAAAGGAGAACAGCTCACCACTACGCACACCATTTACATCCAGATTACATGCAAGGGCTCTATGCGCTGCACTGGGGGTTCGTATGCGAGCGTGTGTGTGCATGCGTGAGTGTAAGAATGCTAATTTCCTGAGTTTAAGCACACCCATCATCATGGGGAATTCATTCGAGACAGGAAACAGCAACGATTTTCCCTTCGTGGCAAAAAAGGTGCTTGATCAAACCCCAGAGAAAAGAAAGAAAAGAAAAACGAGTCAACGGAAAAAGCCATCTAAAGTTCTACCTGTACAATATTACCGAGACGGTCTCCATGCGCCGTACTATTTACAATACGCTTTCTGCCGAGCGAGCACTTCTCGAAAAAAAACATCCAATGGTACAGTATTGCTGACGCAAAAGGTGGCCGAAACCGCAATTCGAATCGTTCGTCTTTCCGTCGTACTTTCTTTCGTATCAGTGTTGTGGAAGGCAAAGGAGGAATGTTTTTAGATACCACCATCTGTACAAATTAAGTGTTGCGGTACACAGACACTACAAACGTATGATGCAGAAGACATTTTTGCATATGGACATTTACAGTCTAGCTGCTGTAGAAAAAAAAAATCTGTATTTTTTTTTCATGAGTTATACTGAACATTCAGAATATTTCCTGAGTTTGAATTTACTGTGACAAGGGCCACAAAGAGAAAGAGACGAGAGAAGGAGTGATAGAGGTTTAGGGGTAGAGGGCAGAAATAGGGAACGGAGGTGGGGTGAGGAAAGAGACAGAGAGAGAGAGAGAGAGAGAGAGAGAGAGAGAGAGAGAGAGAGAGCAAAATGCTGCTGCTAGGTCCATAGAGGTCTGAATTTGAGATGTGGTCAGAGCCCATCTCATCTGAATGGACTGTAATTGGAAACAGACAGTGTTGCACTGTCATGGAAAGGTGTAGCACCATCGTGAAGTTCTGTGAGAAGGTCTCAGCCACTCTGCCATGGCTGAATGAGAGAAAACCTGGAGAACAGTATTGCTGCTGTTAAGACAACTGTAGTGTCAACCTTTGTTTAAAAAAAAGAGACAATTACAAAGACATAAATATGTATATAAAATAATCAAAAACACTGGCAGAGGCTGGCCATCTCAACAGCCCTCGAGTTTTGAGGGGTTGTCAGAAGACGTAACTAAATTAAATAATAAAAAAAACAAATCAACACAGAGAACAAACCACCATCATTAAGTACAGTCCTTTCTGTTGGGCTGTTCGTCGGTTGTACATTTATCTGTCATCTCCTGACAGAAGTCTACTGTCACCGTCTGATTGGACTGTTCCAGGGACAGCCCCGCCTCCAGGTAGGCAGAGCCGGCCTCTTGCTCCTCCCTGTCGTTGCCTACGTCTTCAGACCCGTTTCCGGTCTTCCACTGGGCCGGTCGCGGTTTTCCGTCTTTTGCAGTGGCTGCTTTAAGGAAGCTCTGTTCGGGGGTGGAGCAAGTGGTGAGGTCGATGCTGCCCGTGGGCAGGGCCTGGTTGCCGGGGGCGACGGAGGCGGTGTTGCCGGGGCGCAGTATGGGGCAGTAGTGATGGACCTGTTCTGGGCTCAGCTGCACGTCTCGACACACCTCCTCCGACAGACAGGAGAAATTCTCCCATAACTCTCCCATGCACGCCTTCAACTGGTTGCGCTCTGTTAAGAGCTTCTCCTTCTCACACACCTGTGGGGGTGGACACACATAAAACACACATTTTAAACCTGCGTGTAAGGCAGCTCACACACTTTTTGACCAATAAATAACCAGGATTTTTGCATGAGCTTTCTAGTCGTTGGGGATTCTTTTTTTAGAAATCATTTTGCAGAGAAGATTTCTGCCAGATTTGTTGGTCAAGTGACAGTTTATACTAATTAATGCAATTTCATGATTTAAGCGTTTTCGTTAAGACCCTCAAATGACGCGCTCTTCTGCTTTACACAAACACTCATCAAGCGTAGCGTCAGTTCTGGCAGGTCACGTTAGTCAAGCTCACATTAGCTGACTCTCAGCTGATCCACGTCTACCTATAGGAATATGACGTCTATCACTGTATACATATATAAACTCCTTCAGTTATCAGCAGCAATCAGGAGCTAATGACCCTCCTCCATCACCAGCTCCTCCTCTCATCAGTCAGGATTTGGCAATCTGATTTACCTTGAATCAGACTAAATTCTCCAATTATGTTGCACTTTAAAATCTTGAATTAATGATATCTGCATATAGTTCTCGCCCAGAGCAGAACCATACCACCAATCCAAACTGTATGCTAATTGTCAATCGTATTTGACGATAGTGGTCCTGACAGAAACAAAGACAATTTCTATCAATTAAATATTTTAGTGGAGTGTAAAAAATCTCAATATATATTATTTGTACTGATCAGTATGTACATATAAACAGTACCATTCAAAAGTTTGGGGTCAGTAAGGTTATTTGTTTTAGAAAGAAATTAATACTTTAGATTGAACACATTAAATTGATCAAAAGTGAGAGTAAAGACTTTTATAATGTTTCAAATTAAGAATCCTGAAAAAAATGCATAATGGTTTCCACAAAAACATTAAGCAGCACAAATAATAAGAAATGTTTTTTTAAGCACCAAATCAGCATATTAGACTGATTTCTGAAGGATCATTTGACACTGAAGACTGGAGAAATGATGCTGAAAATTCTTCTTTGCATCACAGGAATATATTTAAAAATGCTTAGATATTAAATATATTTTATATATTATTCTATTTAAATGTATGTAAATAGAATTTTTTTTTTTTTTAGCTATAATATTGTTGGTTTTACATTATTTTTTACTGAATTACTGAAATATTTATAGAATATCAGCATACATTACAGTTTTTTACAATCACTACCCATTTCTCAATACTTAGGTTACTTTTTAAGCGATTGTAAAAAAACTGTAATGATGTAATGAATTTTTATTTTACACAGCACTGAAATATTTCATTATATATATATATATATATATATATATATATTGAATAGATATATTAATTTGAGCAATTTCCATGACTTTTCCAAGATTTACAATCACAAATTCAAAATTCCCTGTACATAGAAATAAATACTTTTTGAGAATATGTACATTATGTTGGTTTTCATTTAACATTATTCAGTATGACTATTAAAGGGATAGTTCATCCAAAAATGAACACAAAAGAAGATATTTTAAAGAATGCTGATAATCAAACAACTGTCTGCTTACAAACATTCTTTAAAATATTTTATTTTGTGTTCAGCTGAATAAAGAAATACATAAAGGTTTGAAACAACTTGAGGGTGAGTAAGTGGTGACAAATTTTTCATTTTTTGGGGCGAACTATCCCTTTAAGAATTTTGTCGGGATGCCCACAATGCCCTTGGTCTTCCCAATGTATTCAAAACCTGCTCCACACACATGCATGCATACACGCTTTGTTATGAACGTACAGTGATCTATAGGGACCAGCTGAGATATGTAGGTCACCCTGCAGCATTAACACTGTCGTCCCGCTCTCAATCTCCATGGATATATCTACACACATCATATATTTCCTGTCCTCATAAATTCATTCATTCTACAACTTAATTTCAGTTGTGCTTTAATATAGCTGTCAAACTCCAAGATAAGACCAGGAGGAGGAGAAGAGGAGCAAAGGCATCCCTCCAGCTGCTTTCTGCGAGATTATATGGAGGATGCGCATGTGGCATCAAAGCGCAGGCTGTCAGGCTTCATGCACATACATGGCTTCACACATCAAAGACAGTCGGCTCCGCCTCCATCACAGAAACAGCATGGGACCGGCTCTGTGATTGACAGGTAGCCGTGCTGCCATGGCAACGTGACAGCCTAGGAGATGAGTTCCCCTGCCGCTTATGGGGATTGATAACAACCTGAAGGCCGACTTGTACAATAAAGATGTTTTGTCACACACAACAGGACCGAGACAGCGAGAGCTGTTTGTGTAGTAGGCTACTTACCAGTTTGTGTATTTCACACTCAAGGTTCAGGATGCAGTCAAGTTTCCTCTTGCGGCAGCGCTGGGCCGCGATACGGTTCTTACTGCGTCTGCGCACGTCGTGGATGAACTCCAGCTGCTCTGAGCTCAGCTTGTGCATTTTCACCATCATTTGGAAGTCGTTGCGTGGAAGATTTGTGATTTGATCGACGGGGAATGGAAGCTTGACCTGTAAAGTCATACATTAGCAAAGTGTTACTCTATGAACATTTTGCTTTTCTTCCATGAAAGCATTTCTCCTCAAGCCATTAAATCAACATAATCAGAGCTCATCTGGTTGACAGCTGATGGCAGAACAAGAGAATTCAACACAATCAGCATCACACAAGGAGATTTACTACACCATTTGTTTAAAAAAACATCTTTCTCCATTGACAGCCATTGAAAATGATCTATGTGTCTGATGAAATAAAAACGTACTAAAATGTAACCTAACTTACTTGCAATATATTTCGTCACCACTAGATGGAGGCAGAACACAGTTCGTTCTTCACATTCAAAAAGTGAGGTCTAACAACACAAGCTTATAACATCTAACCAACCAGCAGCATCACTTATTAACAAAGAGGTCAAAAGATAAGAAAGACAGACAGGAACAAAGGCTGAGAATAAAGAGTGAGAAAGACAGGAACAAGAAAGCATCTTTCTGTCAGAAAAATAAGATTAAAAAGCAGCACAGCTGCTTTAGTCCTTTCTTCCTCTATTTCACACTCCTGTCAGGTGATTACGCAACTGTTAACGAGTTAAGCTGTCAGCGGATTCTGAACATATCACCCAGTAGGAAACAATGTCTCCTTCATGTACAATGAGCATGACACGCAGGCTGTTTGACAATATAAAGCATCAAAACTTCTCTCCATTATGGTCTGGGTGGCTTTCTGAGGGCATGTCATACTTAGACACCCTGCTGTTGTCAGAGAGAGCTTTTAACGAGGGATAAACAAAGGAATGAGTGTCATGAAAAGAAAAAATAATTCAGGTTAAGAAAGCGAGAGGGACTGAGCCAGTCCTCTGTAGGTGAATCCGCTGAAGTCCAAAGTCGATCAGGGTTTTGAGGGAGACATTCAATCTGTCTTTGTACCTGTTGAACACTAGATACTGGTGACCTCAGTTTCTTATATCTGAAGAAATCTGTTTCAGATTTCTCTCAAGTACTCAGGCACTATCTGCAGAAAATATTTTTTATATAGCCTAAACATTATAGTTCATAAATTTTATTTTATGCAAACCAAGACTGATAAAAAGTTAACAGTAATATTTTGAAATAATATTTTTACAATTTAAGTATCTGTTTTCTATTTGAATATATTTTAAAATTTAATTTACTCCTGTGATGGCAAATCTGAATTTTCAGCATCATTACTCCAGTCTTCAGAGTCACATGATCCTTCAGAAATCATTCTAATAGGCTGATTTGGTGCTCAAGAAACATTTCTTATTATTATCAATGTTGAAAACAGCTGTGCTGGTTAATACCTTTGTGGAAACCATGTTTTTTTTTTCAGGATTCTTAGAAGAATATAAATCAACAACAACGTTGTAAATGTCTTTCCTTTTGATCCATTTAATGCATCCCTCCTGAATAAAATAATAATAATAATTATTATTATTTATACCAAACACCACATGTAAAGATGGAACATAATTTGACATACATCAGATGCACAATATATAGTTACCTTATCGATAATCATTCAAGTTTTTATCCTTGTATTGACCGATATTGGATTTCCAACTGCGTTCATGCTAATTTTCCCTATCTTTACATTTAGATTACCTTTGCCATCATCAATATTTAAAACACTAATAATTCAATAACACTTTTAAATGGTATCTTTAGCAAATCTCAAAATGAATATCTACAGTATTTTCACACTGTACATTATAATGCCTACATTTAATTTCAGCATCAAGAAATTGATTTAATTTTTTTAGCATTTTAATTTTAATGTATTTATACAAAATCTTACAGAATTTTAATATCGTCTATTCATCATTTTTTGGCCATAACATGAAAATAATCTCAGACAAACTATAGTGTGGTAAATGAATGAGGCAACCGTAGTGTAACCAGTATACTGTCTATATAGTGCTGCCCTACTTAAGAACTCACATGGGCTTAGTGCGATTATGACCCCATAAACCTGGACCACAGCGGTGCAGCGACTCTTCCATGTGAAGTGCGCCGCTCTGCTGGGAAGCCCACAGTGACTCTGGTTGGGACTGAGAGAAGATGAAAGTGTAGATCTGGCCCAGTTCTGGCTCAGAGCAGCAGGGGGCCCGGAGCACTGGCAGGTCGGAGCAGCATCATTAATAAATGAGGGACAGACCTTTTTCTACTCTCAGCTCAGCCGACATCGAGAATCGCAGTGTGTGAATTTGTGTTGTCTTAATGATACGATTTTTAAGCTGGACTAGACGGAGAGAAAGGTCTTTTTACACGGTCCAAGGAGACACCTTTTCTCTATGACCTTCTCATGTGTCCTTTCCTCTCTCTGTGATATTGGTTCGAGGTGTGTGTGTGTGTGTGTGTGTGTGTGGCAGTAGTGTAAGAGTGAGGTCTATATTTAGTGTCTTACCACCAGAACCAGTTTAGAAAGCCGGGAGAGATGACAGAACGTACACCAGTGGAGTTTATAAATTCGAACGTGATCCCGATTCTCTCTCTCTCTCTTCTCTTGTCCCTTTACTCTTTCTATAGGTCATTATTCTTGAAATGGGTCTGGAGTGAAAAGTAGGACTCCTCTGTTACTGGGAGCAAAGTGGCCCCACTCTTTTTGTCCCTTGCTTCCTTTCTCTTAGCATGGACATATGCAGCAGGGAATTGTGGGAAGGTGACAGACAAAAGCGGTGACTGGAATGAGCAAGGCCAAATGCCTGAGGTCACACAGATATTTTAGCAATTTTACAGGCACGGTGCTTAATTTCCAGTCTAATGTGAGTAAAAACTGCAGTGTGGAAATGATTTAAATGTGCAAACAAAAAGGAAAGTTAGCCGCTTGGTCAGTTAAATGCCTTTAGCGGTAATTAGATCATCTGTTTGCTAAATATCATTACTGTCCTTCAGAGATTCCCAGAAACGTTACTGTGCTGCTATGCATCTCTTTGATTCACATGTCTCGGTAATGAGACGCCATGTGACACAGATAAGAAAACAGTCTGAAACAACCCCTAAGATATTCCTCTTTGTTTCTTCTTCCCTCCTTTCTTCTCTTGTTTTTCTTCTCTCAGCCCTGTTGCTATTACTGGAAGTCTCCACAGGGGCTGAGTAATGGGGGAAAGCTATCCGCATACACACACATGCATGCACCCCCCTTTCAAAGACACGGGACAGACACACATGCACACACTCACTCTGTCTAATGGAGTGATGGGCCTGTCCGTGGTCACCATGGGGCTTCATTCCCATCAGGACCAAAGTGTCTGCTTGTGCGGGTATGTGTACACCTAAGATAAATGGCCTGTATGAATGCCTGTCTAGGTCAGTGGTAAATTCCTAATGTAACACATCTGGAGTAAAAAGCCCCCATCCTTATAGGCGGCAATGAGATGAAATGACGAGCAAATGGAGAGTTAAATCTCTTAAATCGGCTTCTCAAATTTTTCTTCTAAAAATCATGATTCCAGTAATGCAGTTTCAGAGGAGATCTTAACAGTCTCAAACTGTGCTCGGATTTCCCAAGATACCAAAGTTTGCAATAAAAGTTAAAAATTGAAATGTAAACTAAAAAAATTTCTTATTCAGCAATTATTCCAAGACCACATTATATGAGCAATATCAATATTAATTGTATATCCAATATTTACATTTTCTGTATGTCAAAAACTATCTTTTTGATTGATTTTTTTCCTAAGGAACTGAAGGAGAAACATAATATAATTAGGGATGTGTTCATTTTTAATGTTATCGTTGACCCCCCAAAAAATTGGCCGATATATTAAAGCCGATAAATAATGGATTATTTCCTTCAGCTGAGACACTTCAGATGCGCACCGTTCACCATGATGGTTTTGAATTGCTTGAAATATGATTGAAATCACACCAAAAAAAGGAAAATATGGTTTGCATGCAGGTCTGTCATATAAGCTACATAAAATTATAATGAGAACATTATATATAATAGTGTGGACATGGATTTTAATGGTGAGACTTTTGTTTTTGTAATCAGGCTCTCAAAACGTATATACAAATTTGGATTTAGTATGTTCATGCGAAACAGGACTGTAAAATAAAGTACAGTTGTGCTGCTTAATATTTTTGTGAAAACTCTTAATGACCCCAAATTTTTGAACGATAATGTATATAATGCCAATTCTATTATATACACAGTCTAATATATATATATATATAATAGAATTGGCATTACTGCAAACTGCACTCTACGTGATATCCGCGTCTACTTCTACAAGCAAACAGTGAGCGTTCATAATATTTCAAGCTTTCACCTTGAACATATTTCAATCATGCGGTTTTACACCTCACCAATGCGACGTCTGACGAATAATTTGCAGACCACAATCGGCTCATATTGAGAGAGCGGCTTGGCTTTTAAAGTCGGAATGAGAGGAACAGAAATGGTTCTGACTTCACCCTTCACTTCCTGCGACGCAGGCGGCCTGACTAAAGGGTTAATGCTTCTTGCACCGTGATTTTCAAGAATGAAAATGAAGAACTGAGAGTGAGATTTTCGTCTGTGGGCTTTTCTGATGATCACACCCACTCACTCCGAGATCAATACTTCACCCAGTGTAACCGAATGACTAAAGTGTAAAGAAAATGGTAGATACATCTTCTCAAAGATCTCAAGATTTGATAACTGTCCTCAGTAGGGCATTGCTCTTTTTTTACTTCAGGACCTTTCTTTGCCCCCACAACTGAAATCTCTCCGGTCAGTCTACAGTGACATCTTCAGGTTACTGTCAGTGAGTGAGTAAGACTTCAGTCCTCCAGTATCTTCCAGAGGTGTCAAGTCGGCTTTAAAAAGTATGCATTATTGTGTGTGAAACGGGTAAAAGTAAGGACAAATCAAATGATATGGCAATATTCTTGGTCCTGAGCTCTTCCTGTTTGAATAGATGCTGATCACAGAGGGCAAGTGATACTGTATATGACTCATGAAAAAGAGAGAAAAGTTCAAAGACCTGCCTTCAGTATCTAGACTGGCCTAGAAGGACTACACTAGTGCTATGATTAGCCTACAGTTTAACAACTTCCTTCCTCCTTTGAATTCATTGTTTCAAGCAGCAGGCTGAAGCTATTTTTGAGATTGTGCTTCCCTCTTTGTGTGCTGCTCCTCTCTCTCTCTCTCTCTCTCTCTCTCTCTCTCTCTCTCTCTCTCTCTCTCTCTCTCTCTCTCTCTCTCTCTCTCTCTCTCTCTCTCTCTCTCTCTCTCTCTCTCTCTCTCTCTCTCTCTCTCTCTCTCTCTCTCTCTCTCTCTCTCTCTCTCTCTCTCTTACATGCCATTTGCTGTGCAACAAAGGACTGTCTATTTGACAAGGTGGTATTGCATATCTCTAGGAGAGAGAGAGAGAGATGGGAATTTCTTCAACTATAAGCATGATTTTTATCACAAAAAAAAATCAACCATTTTCTTTTTGTTATAGACTACCATTCAAAAGATTGGGGTCAGAATGACAGTAACATTTATAATGTTACAAAAGATTTCGGTTACAAATAAATGCTGTTCTTTTGAACTTTATATCATCAAAGAATCCTGAAAAAATTTATATCATCATGGTTTCACAAAAATATTAAGCAGCAACTGTTTTCAACATTGATAATAATATATATATATATTTTACTTGAGTAGCAAATCATGGTCACACTTTAGTTTAGGGTCCAAATTCTTATTATTAACTAACTATTAACTATGACTTTTGCCTCAATAAACTTTTAATTACTGCTTATTAATAGTTAATAAGGTCATTGTTAAGTTTAGGTATTGGGTAGGATTAAGGATGTAGAGTATGGTCATGCAGAATAAAGCGTTATTATGTGCTTTATAAGTACTAATAAACAACCAATATCTTAGTAATATGCATGCTAATAAGCAACTAGTCAATAGTGAGAATTGGACCCTACACTAAAGTGTTACATAAATCATCATATTAGAATAATTTCTTGAGGATCATGTGACACTGAAGACTGGAGTAATGATGCTGAATATTCAGCTTTGCTATCACAGGAATGAAATACATTTTAAAATATAATAAAATAGAAAACATTTATATTAAATTGTAATAATAATGTACAATATTAGTGTTTTTACTTTATTTGTGATCAAAACATTTTTACACTTGGGTAAAAAAAACAACAAAAAACAACCTAGACCCAGGCCCAGTGGACTAGTTGGCCATACTTGAATTTATTTTTGCATATGAAGTATGTGAAAAGCATATATGAAAGGTTGGTAGCATTTGCTCTCGAGATGAAGTTTCTGAATGGAAGAAGGGAGATTTTAAGTCCTTTTTTCAGACTTTCATCAGCTCAGCTTCACAGAAATGGTTAGATGTAGATGAGAAAATGAACAACAACAAGAATGCAACTGAGAAGAAGAGTGAAAGCTGGAGTGAAAGAGTGTATCAGATACTAGATTGACATGAGAGCTTTCAACCTCAACAGCTATCTGAGATCTTGACCCTCATTTTGAACATCTGCAGATACAATTCCAACCCCGTTGTACTTTAAATGAATCCATTTAGTGAAGTCAGGAATCCTTAAGTGATTTTGGGTCTGTTTCTAAATCAAAACTGGAAAGAAAAGTAAACTAGTTGAAATACAAAGCTCCATTGAAAAGTCAAATGAAGAGTCAGATGCACTATGAGTGTGTGGGGAGGGCAAATACTTTGAGACAACATTTTTTTTTCCTTCAGGTCGGGTGCAGTGTGTCTCAAGTCTTTTGCAAACGAAACGGAAACAATGCACAAAATGCTGAAAACTAGCCAATTCGTTCCTGAGTGCTCTGTGTTACCACGGCAACAAACCATTTTCTCCATCAAGGCCCCCACATGCATTTCTAAAGGTCTCACCCCCAATCTCTAAAGATGATCTCTCCTTCTCCTTTATAGTTATTTGCTCTTTTAAAATATACAGCATCCCAAGTGAAACTCAACTCGCATTCAGATCAGACAGCAGCTTCACACAAGTGTTTATCTATTCTTTCTCTTCATTCTAAATCTCTACATTTAAACTCTTTTCTATCAGTGTCTCACCTTTCAGTGATATTACAACTATTTGTTTCTCCTTCTCCCTTATTAATAATTTTGCTTTGTTTATTTTGTGTCAAGAAAACATTGCTGGTCAGAATTATTTGCCCTCTTGGCAAATATGATCAAAGATGGCTATAAAAAATAAATCTGCATTGTTTATCCTTTTGATATATATATATATATTTTTTTTTTTTAAATGCAAAAATCTAACCTTTCATTGAAGTAAAATAATTGAAAGTGGGGAAATCACATTATGAAATAAATGTTTTTCTCCAAAACAAATTGGGAACAATTTTTATTAAATACTTTTTGCAACCTGCCTTTTCCAAGATAACAGAGTTTTCTCCTATAATGCCTGATGAGTTTGGAGAACACCTGACAAGAGATCAGAGACCATTCCTCCGTACAGAATCTCTCCAGATCCTTCAGATTCACAGATCCATGTTGGCGCTTCTTCTCTTCAGTTCAGCCCACTCACATGGTCAGATGAAAAAAAAAAAAAAAAAGCTTTTTTGGCAGCAAACACTTAATATGGGTTTGGTGCAGACAGGGATAAAAAAGTAACCCATGTGTAAAATGAAATACTCTGCTGTATCTTTAATGCTGTGGGCCTAATTTTCTGCCAGAGGTCCTGGACATCTTGTTCAGATACATGGCATCATGGATTTGATCAAATACCAACAGATAAAAAAATCAAAACCTGACAACCTCTGCTAGAAATATTATAACGGGCCATGTTTAGATCTTCCAACAGGACAGTGATCCAAAAACAAACATCAAAATCAAAACAAAAATGTATCACTGAGCACAGAACCAAGCGTCTGCAATGGCCATCCCAGTCCCCAGACCTGAACCCTATAGAAAATGAGTGGCTGAACTGAAGAGAAGAAGCACCAACATGGATCTGTGAATCTGAAGGATCTGGAGAGATTCTGTACGGAGGAATGGTCTCTGATCTCTTATCAGGTGTTCTCCAAACTCATCAGGCATTATAGGAGAAGACTCAGAGCTGTTATCTTGGAAAAGGGAGGTTGCAAAAAGTATTTAATAAAAGGGCAAATAATTGTTCCCAACGTGTTTTGGAGAAAAACATTTATTTTATAATGTGATTTTCCCCGCACTTTCAATTCTTTTACTTCAATGAAAGGTTAGAATTTTGCTAATTTTTTTAATAAAATATCAAAAGGATTAACAATGCAGATTTATTTTTTACAGCCATCTTTGATCACATTTACCAAGGGGGCAAATAATTCTGACCAGCACTGTATGCTATCTGAACTACACTGTATATTATCTTTAAATAAAAAAATAAAAAACCCTGAATATACAGCAAATATTGAATGGCTGTCAATGGAGAAAAAGGTTTCTGCACCCAGCATCTGCCAGCAGGGGCTTCATGGACCATGCTAATAAATCAATGTTAGACTGATCAACCAAACCTTGACAAAATGAAGAATAGCGTGTGACTGTGCCACTCACCATTAAAGGGCAATTTCTTTAGAAAGAAGTATGTGTGCCTTGAGCTTAGGAAGCACTGGGGCTTGGTGTGAGCACATGTGCTCTGGGTCTCTTTTCTCCTCTCTATCTCTCTTTAACATGTTCTGAGGATGAGGCTGTGAATCATTGCTTAGTATTAACCAATCACAGCACAGAGCAGACCCACACCCCCTTATTAGTAATATGGTATGTGAGCAACATATAAATTAAGTTTCATATTCAATATTACTCTGCCACAGTGTACATTGCTGTTTTGCATTGGGCTATATTGTTGACATATTCTTAGCTGCCCTATTTTGCCCGGTTTTACTTTTAATTTTCAATGCTCCTTTCTGTTGCATTGAACACTGCCATACGAAAGGGAAAAACAATGAGACTTGAGAAAAATGGTTTCAAATGTTTTGACTGAATTTTGATTTAAACGGTTTTAAAGGGATGGTTCACCCAAAAATTATAATTATGTCATCATGTACTCACCTTCATGTCAATCCTGTTTGACTTTCTTTCTTCTGTGAAACATGAAATATATTGTCATCTGTTTTTGACCATAGAATGAAAGTCTTTGGTGTCCAAAAACAACACTTTCATTATTTGGACCAAAAAAAGAAAAGTCTGAAACATGTTTAATAATAACATTTTTGTTGTTCTGCAGAACAAAGAAAGTCATACAGGTTTTGAACAACATGAAGGTGAGTAAATGATGACAGAATTGTAGCTTTTAGGTGAACTATCCTTTAACATTTTCTCAGAATCTGAGCAGAGGTAAGCCAAGCCCTTCTGTTACAGGTCAGATCATAGTCTGGGAGACACGATTCTAGTCTTAGCTCAATTTTGAAAAAGTGTGTAGTTATTGTGTTTTCTCTTTACACAACAGGAATCCAGACTTGATTGTCAAATTGAGTTTGCTCCTCTCTGCTGTATACTACTATATTAGTCTTCCCTAGACAACACACAAAAGGCCAGAGTAATATCATAGCAGTTATTCCGTTTATGCCAGCCCAGACATGAATGATTACAGTGTTCATTGGTCTATTAGCAGTCAGCAGCTCTATTCAATGAATCAGTGAAAGTCAAAGGGAAAGTCTCTAAATAGCATAAGGGCAGCGTGCACATCTAATTGGTTCCTGCATGAATGAGGGTATGAGATGCAAAGTGTGCTTTTGGAAGGAATTGTTAGACAACAGGTAAACACATGAGAGAGAAATTGGTAAGACTCACCTCAGGGCCTTGCTCTCGAGCATGACATGATTCACTGTCCCCCTCCGAAAAGGACCCTGACTCATCACTGGAATTGGTTCCATACGACTGCTCACACTTTATCTTTGGCCGCACCCGTGTGAAGAGAGCATCTGTCCCACCACCTGCCTCCTGCGGGTCAGCGGTGAGACACCGTGTCGCATTGGGGCAAGGCGAGGATGAAAACTCAAACTGTGGAAGGCTGCATGGGGACCCGCCGCTCCCGTCCTCAGCATAAGAATACGACGAACAGGAACTGGAGGTCCGGGTGCGGGTCTCTGAAGGGGGCGATCGCGAGCATACCTTGATTGGCACTGGGCAGCTGGTATTGGGCCTTTGGCGGCAAAGCAGGGGCGGGTCACTGGCTATGGTGCTGGGGGAGTAGGTCTGGGAGCTGGGGAGGGACTGGCTGGCGCCGGCCCACAATCCCTTTGGCATGTGTTCTGAGAGCTCCTTCTCCAATGAGTTTCCGCTGGGATGGGAGTGGGTGGGAGTACCCAGTCGGTCACAGGCCCCTGGGGGGAAGATGACACTGCGGCGGTCCAGCTCCACCTCTTGCTTGCACACACCATCACATGAATCCGACTTCAACGAAAGCCCTGGCGGGAAACCATCAGTGTCTTTGGGGAACACCACAGGCATGCCAAGCTCATTGGCAAGCGAAGGCCTGTAGTCTTTTTTGTGGTCTGCCTGAGTGGTTCCTTTATCCTGGGCATTAATGAGTCTGTTAACAAAAAGCTGCTGGGGTGTGCTAGGCAGGTCCTTATTGAAAAGAGTTCTTAGGCAGGTCGGTGACTTGTTGCTGCCTTTTGGTTGGTCCACTGCGATGGAATCATCCAGCTCCATCTCAGCCACACCGTCCTTTTCACCTCCGTCCTGCTCGTCCCCTGACAGGCAAAGCGAGATGGACTCTTCCTCGCTGCGTGGCTCCTGCTTGATTTGCATCACTGCTGGCCTGCTCATCTCCTTGAATGTGCTTGGAAAACCTGAGGTACTGGTGTGTGAGGAGGCGTCGTTATTGTGCTTGTTGCATGCCCACTGGTACTTCCTGTACTTAGGGCATCGTGGCAGGTCTGAGGTGCCGTGTCGCTCAAAGTCCATCAGCCCATCAGCGAAATCTTCCGTTGCCGCCAGCTGCTCATGGTCTGGTCGCCGCAAGGAGTTCAGGGTCTCTGCACAACGACGAGAGCGTGGAGAACCGGACAGGGTCACTGCAGTTGTCGCTGTTGTCAGCAACTCAGGTTGCATGCTCTCATCCTCCGAGTGATTGCTCTCAGGCGCCATCTTGCGACACAGGAGCAGGCCATCCTCCTCGCTGCGCAGTTGGGCTTCCAGGAAGCGGAAGCAGGAGTCTTCCAGGTTGTGAATGCGCAGGAATTCGGCACAGCGGATGACCTCCTGGATGTTTTCTCTGCTGAGCAGCAGCTTAGCCGTATAGGCAAACTGTAACAATGGAGCGAATCCCCGGGCACTGACCTGCGGACACACACACAGAAAAAACAGGGGAAATTGCCAATGTTACCATCAGCACTGCTATTGTTCAAGGCACTTGGAGTGTGCTGAGAGAACTAGACAGCTCAAATGACCGTAAACAAACACTGTAAAGTGCCAGTTAATCTTTTATCAGGTCGGCACCGAACGTTCTATACAGCGGTGAGTCTGTCAGTTAAGGTCAAGAGACCAGCCTCATTTATGTAACAAAGACATCTGCCATTCCACTCTCTGCTCAAGTTAGCCCTGTAGGTTCAGCTTGGCCCCCTGTTTGTTGCAAATGATATTGCAGTAACATGTAGAAGCATGCAGGTTTGTAAACATAATTTCACATCTATCCCTCAGGTGAGGCACCTTAAAGCATAATAGGCTCTAGGACTCTTACAGCTTATCCCTACTACAGCCATACCGAGCTTGCTGAGAGAGAGAGAGAGAGAGAGAGAGAGAGAGAGAGAGAGAGAGAGAGAGAGAGAGAGAGAGAGAGAGAGAGAGAGAGAGAGAGAGAGAGAGAGAGAGAGAGAGAGAGAGAGAGAGAGAGAGAGAGAGAGAGAGAGAGAGAGAAGAGAGAGAGAGAGGCAGACAGAGAGAGACAGACACAGACAGATATGGAAGCTTTCCATTTGACCTAATGCTAGATAATTAGGTAAATGCCTGCGCCTGCAAAAGCTTGGCTGGCCCACTGTGGTCTTTGCGCTGTAAGGGCAAATGAGTAAGTGAATTTAGACAAGGAAAAAATAATTACCCAAGCTCACAGGTTTTCTTTTCACAGGTGTGAAGCAACTTGTGGGACCTGTAAACGTAGGCTCTATAACTCTCTAGTCTCACCTGTAAACTAGAGCTGTCAATCAAATACAAAATTTGAATGGAATGCTGCTAATTAATAAATCAAGTTAAGCAAACTATCATATTGATCAATATTTGCAGAATAAAGCCTCCAAATGAAGATAAATTAAGACTTCTTATTGTAGCAGCTGAGTAAATCATTTCACAAGAGCTTTAGATGCCAAAACAGCTATTCAAATTGTGTTCTTTCTCTGACAGTGAGTCAGACTCTGCCTGTGCTATGCTGGAGTCAAAACGTCATGGACAGACATCGATGTAGGTGTTGTGTTCTTCGTTCTCAGACACATTACAATGGCTCGACTTTGATCTGGGTCAGCATTGTTCAGTCCACAAAGCGCTCTCTCTTCTCCCTCAATTACGTAAAGTGCTCAACAGCACAAGTGAACTTGTGCTCATAGATGGGAGGGAATGAGATCAACACTTAATGTTCAATGAATGAGGACAAGACACTGTTTACTATGAGTTTGTTTCTTTTGTTGATAGGGACAAACTGCAAACTCTTCATAGATGTTATCATCAGATTTTTTTTTTTTTGTGGTTAGTTTTTGCAGATTATCTCTTTCCTACTATAAAACCAGAACCATAAAATTTGTTTAGTAGATTTTTCCATGTGGATTGTATTTAGAGTCAGGGCCAAGGCATGGAGGGAAAACCCAAGTCTGAGGTTAAAAGGGCTTTTTCGGTTACAATGAGTTGAAACACAGCTGATTACTATAGTGTGGGGAATGTGAAACAAATCAGACACACACAACATACAGACTCCTGATAAAGCTAACTGACGTCTTCTTGATTATAGCAAAATCAAACACAAAAGTGCACATTCCAAGAATTCTGTAGTACCATTTCAAGCCTTCTTTCCTGTAAAACCTTTTGAGGAAATGCAATAGTTCAGTTAAGTCTAAAAAACAAAAAAACAAACAAAAAAACACACACATTTGAATTTTAACTATTAATAAATCAACTATATCTGTATATTTTCAGAAGGAAATACCAGTGTCTGAAAAGCAGGACAAGCACAGTGTTAAACTTTGGGCTTCGGTTCTGTTTTGAAACTTTAATCTTAAAATGTAAATTTGAAATAGAGACAAAGTAAGAAATATTTTCTCTGCTCTAATATAACATATGATTTACAGTCAACTGGATATTATCTCAAAATAAACCCAGACAGGTTGATCAGAATCTTTCTGAAGGGATTTATTTTGTAATAATGATCAGCTGACTGTACATTATCCTCCTTATTATATGGCTTTTTTTGCAAATAAATAAATAAATGCTCATGAAACACTGATTTGGGTCAAAGTGATTGTTCTATGTGAGAAGAAAGATACAGCAGAATGATACAAAAGACATGAAACAAGCTCAGTTATAGGAGATTGGTTGCCAGGGAAAACAGTAAACTGGTTGACATTATACAAAACATTTGACTGTGAAATGCTGTGATTGACTAATCCGAATCAAGAATTCCAGAGATCTGTATACTGATGTATGATAATCTTCAAATGTATAGACTTCCATTCTACAAAGAGCAGAATGAAGAACATATCAAATCTTAAGAAAGGATTAGAATGGATAGATCACATTTATTTTCCATCTCCTTCAGAGATACTCATCCAATCATACACAAACAAAGGATTCTATAGCATCCACAAAATATGCACACAAACAAAACTGATGACTACCGACTCTGAGTCATCCGGGGCTGTCTGTGTCCAGTAGACGCATTATAGTACAGAGAGAGAGAGAGAGAGAGAGAGAGAGAGAGGCTCATCTGCCCGCTGGCAACACAACAGCGCCAATCAGTCACTGCTGAGAGGAAGCTGCTGACTCGTAATCTTTGTGGGGGATGGTGTGTGCTAGTGTGTGTATTGTATGTGTGTACAGTGCCCTATGGTACAGTGTCTATGGGTGTGGGGGAGGATGGCATGTAGAGTGTGCATGTGTGTGAATGGGATGATCATGGCTCTTTGATAGGAAGTGTGTCCACTTAGAGAAAGAAAGAGGAACCAGAAAGAGGTAGAGATTTAATTCAAACATACAATGGATTTTTTTTTTATGGTTAAAGCCATCAGTGCAGCCTTATCAATCAAGATCCTTAAATTAGTGAATATTCACAATATATTCATGATAATTTAGCTGGAGATATAAAATGAAACATTCTGAACATTACGGATGATTTCGATGCAATTCTTCTTTCCGTTATTTTCAATGTTTTAATTACGTCTCTGATTTGACTTTCAGTATTAGAGTTCGATTCATTTCCAAGAATCAGTTCAAATTGTCAATATAAATGAACGGTTTAAATTAATAATTTAAATTAACGTTTCTCTGCATAGGAATTTTCATATATTAAAATGTTTCAGTAAAAAATGTAGCTGAATATTGCTGTTGTTATATTGGAGCATTTAACTGAAACTGGTTCGGTATTCTTCCTAGTGTTAATTTATTCTTCCTTTATTGTTAATGTTTGCTGTTTTAGTTACATTGAAAATGTCCTTGGCTAAAAAAAAAGGAACAAATACATAGATAATTAGAAAATATATTGATCATCATCAAAAAGCGGAAAAATACCTACATTTGTATATTCAAGCTATGCAGCTGTAGTGCTCTCTAATGGGCTCAGATCCGATTGGACATTCCTGGTTGTGATTGAAGGTGGAGAGACACAGTGATGTTGGGGGTGTGAAGGTATGGAGAGGCTACGGCTGACAAACAGCTCTCTCTGCTGGGGGAAAAAGTGCTGAAATGTGTTTTTCAGCTGACATCAGCATCGGCTGCACCATCTGTGACTAGTGTTTCTACGACACACACCATCAGCCTGATGGAGAGAGAGATGAGGGGTGTGGACAAAAAAAAAAAAGGCAAAATGGATGGAAAGGGAGTGAGAGAATGAAGAGCATGGAAATGTGAAAAAGGAATAAAAAGGTGGAGGGGTTAGAATTAAAATGGGATGGGGGATGGGTGATATGGTCTGAGACAAAGGCTTAAAGGTATAATAAAATAAAAATTCATTCATTATTTACTCGCCTGTCTATTTAAAATAGACAAAAATGTAAAGTTGTTTATTCACAGACGATCTTTCCCTTCAGTGAGCTGTTAACCGTTGTGACAGGACCATCGATTCAGTGAGTTGAACTTAAAAACTGGTTCATTTTGAATTATCATTCATGAACAAACCATTCAGAAAGGTTTGTGAATTGAAACAACCGATTCATTAAAAAATGATTTTGTTCACAATTCTGACACGAGGTTGAGTAAATGATGACACAAATTAAATTTTTGGGTGAACTATCACTTTAACAGCGTAGCACTACGAATCCAAACAACAAAAGACAAGATAAAATGTGCTCACAGAAGAGGAAAAATAAAGCACAATTGCAGCTCATTAAGGGACTGACTTTGACATATGAGCCACTGGACCTGTTAACAACATTTATTATGTGGGAAACAGAAAAAGGAGCAAATTTATCTTCACGACAGATCTGGGACAGTTATGCTAATTCAGACTACAGACTATTCTCCCTCACTGGGCCTCAAAAGGGTCATATTGTTACAAAGCAGGAAATTACATGAATTGTATATCATACATCCTGACAACTCCTGACTATTCGGGAATTGTGCCAAGCGATTCCTTCCATGAAAAGGTCGCAGAATGCTATAAACCCCTCACACCTGCCCTCTCGTTCATTCATTCCCTCTCTCTTTGATATTCTGCCTTTCCCCTCTCAGTAGCAGAGACGGCTAATTTATGTAAATTTGCTCCGCCAAATTCCTGCATGTCATGAATGTTAATGAGGCAAAGATCCGCATGACAATGTGGCGAATGCTTTACAGGGTGTCTGAAAAAGTACAAAACCTCTACTGAAGACGGGGGCGCCTGCGATATGAAATCTGCTGACTAACCTGACATTAAACTCCACATGCAGACACAATCAAATGAGCCGCGGTGCAGCACAAAGTCACGGCTCACGCTGAACTGGAATATACGGGGATACGGTAAGGGCATTTATTGACTGTGCTTTAGAACCTACTGAGACAGCATTTTTAGCCATCATTATTGGCAATTTGAATGTTCGAACGCTAAATTGAGGAAGGCATTTCAGTAGGCTTTGAAACACAGACCTTCAAATATGCCACAAATACCA